TTTCGCTACGCACAACACGTATACCGTCCATGCATATTTACATGCATGATAAACAATAATATTAGGTTTAAATTAGGGGTTGAAATGAATTGCCCTTCACGGGCTGAAGCTCACTGCTGAGAATGACTTATCATTGTTCTCCTTTATTTTGTTTTATTTTTTTCTCTTTCATGCAAATCCGTCACAAGCACGTCTCAAACTCCAAGCACCTTATAGTTAATCAAAGAGAATAATCACGGGACACAAAAAAATAATTCAAATCATAAGTTATAATGTACTAGCACTTTAATGTCTCATGGTTCCGAAAAAGAAAAATGATAGATTATGTTAATAATCTTGTGAATCTTTATATTAATAGTATGTATATATTCTGTTGTAAATCATTCCGTAACTATAGCCTAATTGTAGCCTAAATTATAGCAATCCAGGATTGTATATATTGCAACAGAATAATGAGAATAAGCAACGGATTCAATTCTCTCATGGTATCAGACTAGGTTACGTCTCCTAGCCGCCTTCTTTGCTTGGTACCAGCGATTTGCAGACTATGTTGCTACTATTGGTTTTTCTCACAGCAAGTCCGATCATTCTCTGTTTATTTTTCGTCAGGGCACTCAAACTGCATATATCTTATTGTATCCACCTGCCTGGCAGTATCCGGCGTGGGGAGGCTGGGCTCCACCTCCTTGGGCCATGCCTCCTTGCCCCTATCCTACAGCAGCTTCATGGCAGCCTCGTCCAAACTCTAAGAAGCCTGGCATTTTGGGTGCTCACCCTCAACAAGCACATCATGCCACTGCAATTCCTCCACAAGGTGATTATATGCCTACTGATGTTGACGCGGCTTTTCATACACTCTCTCTCAATCCCCCGGATGACAACAATTGGTACATGGACACCGGTGCCACCTCTCACATGACTTCGAATCAAGGTACTCTCTCGTCTTATTTTAATTTGAGCAAAAACCGTGGTATATTAGTCGGTAATGGTCATGAAATTCCAATTCACGGTTACGGTAGCACTGCTCTATCCCCTTCGAACCCCCCTTTGCATCTCAACAATGTCTTGCATGCTCCCAAACTCATTAAGAACCTAATTTCCGTTAGAAAATTCACTAAAGATAATTCTTGTTCTGTTGAGTTTGATCCGTTTGGGTTTTATGTGAAGGATTTACGAACGGGGAGGCACCTAATGAGATGTGAGAGCTCGGGAGATCTCTATCCCTTCACCAAAAATCGGGCCATTTCTGATTCCGCATTTACTGCTTCGTCTTCAAATTTGTGGCATAGCCGCTTAGGGCATCCCGGAGAAGCTGTTCTTAGTTCTCTTCGTAGTAACAATTTTATTCAATGTAATAAGGCCCGTGAATTTTGTCATTCTTGTCCTCTTGGAAAACATATGAAATTGCCATTCAAGAGTTCAACTTCTTTCACTTGCTTGCCTTTTGATATTGTTCACAGTGATTTATGGACTTCCCCCGTTTTAAGCTCTTCGGGACATAAATATTATGCTTTATTTTTGGATGATTATTCGAATTTTTTGTGGACATTTCCAATCTCAAATAAATCACAGGTTTATTTGATATTCCAAAAACTTCAAGCATATATTAGAACCCAATTTGAAAGAGAAATCAAAAACCTACAATGTGACAATGGGCGGGAGTATATAAATGGTCCTCTTAGAAGCCTCTGTGAATCTAGTGGTATGGATTTTCGTCTCTCATGCCCTCACACATCTCCTCAAAATGGAAAGTCCGAACGAAAAATTAAATCCATCAATAACATTGTACGGACTCTTCTTGCTCACTCTTCCATGCCACCCTCGTTTTGGCACCATGCTCTTCAAATGGCCACCTATCTCCTAAATGTCTTACCATCTAAGGTTTTGGGGTACAAGTCACCTACACAAATTCTCTACCAAAAAGATCCAACCTACTCTCATCTTCGGGTTTTCGGTTGCCTTTGCTATCCTCTCTTCCCTTCCTCTACCATCAACAAGCTTCAAGCTCGATCAACTCCTTGTGTTTTCTTAGGCTATCCGTCAAACCATCGGGGATACAAGTGCTATGACTTGTCAAGTAAGAAAATATTTATCTCACGACATGTTTTGTTTGAGGAAAATCAATTTCCTTTTGCAAATTTACATACCCCTACTGCCTCTTCTTACACCTTTTTGGATGACGACCCCTCTCCTTACTTGATCCAACACATTCAACATTCTTCCCAACTAAGGCCTGCTGCAGAGCCCATTTCCCCTGGCCCAAATCTGCCGCCCACCCTAAACAATCCCTCACCTGCCACGGCCCAGTCCGGGCAGCAGTCCACTAGCTCCATTCCTCCTACTGTCCAAGTAGTTGAGCCTACTGCCCCTTCTTCCGCAACGGCCCAGCCAGCACATTCTCCACCACGAGCCGAGCAGCCAGTTCGGCCCACTCCAGCTACCCGCATGTCCACTAGAAGTCAGCATGGGATTGTTAAGCCCAAAAGGCATTTTAACTTGAGTGTTTCTACTTCCCCTTCCATATCTCCACTTCCCAAAAATCCAATAAGTGCTATTCGTGACCTGAATTGGAAATTGGCTATGATGGATGAAATGGATGCTCTAATTAAAAATAAGACGTGGGAGTTAGTCCCCCGACCTGCTGATGTTAATATTATTCGTTCTATGTGGATTTTTCGTCACAAAAAGAAATCTAACGGTGATTTTGAGCGTCATAAGGCTCGTCTTGTAGGCGATGGACAATCTCAACAGGTGGGAGTGGATTGTGGTGAGACATTCAGTCCGGTTGTCAAACCGGCGACTATTCGGGCAGTGTTGAGCATCTCTTTATCACATTCTTGGCCCATCCATCAGTTGGATGTCAAGAATGCCTTCTTACATGGTAATCTCACTGAAACTGTCTATATGCACCAGCCCATGGGATTTAAAGATCCCAATCATCCAGATTATGTTTGTTTGTTGAAGAAATCTCTCTATGGCCTTAAACAAGCCCCACGGGCTTGGTACCAGCGATTTGCAGACTATGTTGCTACTATTGGTTTTTCTCACAGCAAGTCCGATCATTCTCTGTTTATTTTTCGTCAGGGCACTCAAACTGCATATATCTTATTGTATGTTGACGATATTATTCTCACTGCCTCTTCAGATGCTCTCCGAAGGTCCATTATGTCTCTCCTCAGTTCTGAATTTGATATGAAGGACTTAGGTCCTCTTAGTTTTTTTTTGGGCATTGAAGTGAAACGTCATTCAGGAGGTATTTTTCTCTCACAAAAGACATATGCTGAGGAGATACTTGATAGGGCAGGTATGACTTCTTGCAAGCCATGTCCTACACCCGTGGACACAAACCCGAAGCTCAGCACCTCCACCGGGTCCCCTTATGATGATCCAACTCAATACCGCAAACTTGCTGGTGCACTTCAATATCTCACATTCACTAGGCCCGACATCTCCTATGCGGTGCAACAAGTTTGTCTCCACATGCATGCTCCAAATGACAACCATATGGCCGCCCTCAAACGCATTTTGCGTTACATTCGAGGTACACTTGACCTTGGATTGCATCTCTATAAATCATCGACAACCTCTCTTGTCACATATACAGATGCAGATTGGGGTGGATGCCCAGATACCCGAAGATCCACTTCGGGTTATTGTGTGTTTCTTGGAGACAACTTGATCTCTTGGTCCTCAAAACGTCAACCTACACTCTCCCGATCTAGTGCCGAAGCTGAATACCGGGGTGTTGCTAATGTTGTTTCCGAGTCTTGTTGGATTCGTAATCTCCTCTTAGAACTTCATTGTCCGCTCAACAAGGCCACATTGGTATATTGTGATAATGTTAGTGCCATTTATCTTTCGGGCAATCCTGTGCAACATCAACGCACTAAGCATATTGAAATGGATATTCACTTTGTTCGAGAAAAGGTCTCACGAGGTGAGGTACGTGTCCTTCATGTTCCGTCCCGTTATCAAATCGCCGACATCTTTACTAAAGGGCTTCCGCGCATACTCTTCAATGATTTTCGGGACAGTCTAAGCGTTCGTGAACCTCCCGTTTCGACTGCGGGGGTGTGATAGATTATGTTAATAATCTTGTGAATCTTTATATTAATAGTATGTATATATTCTGTTGTAAATCATTCCGTAACTATAGCCTAATTGTAGCCTAAATTATAGCAATCCAGGATTGTATATATTGCAACAGAATAATGAGAATAAGCAACGGATTCAATTCTCTCAAAAAACATATCAAGAAAAATACAACTGTGTGTTACGGAGAGTTAGGAGATGAATGCTTAATATGATTGGATAAATACATTTATTCAACGCTTACATATCATAAGTAAAGGGTCTAACCGAGTTGATAAGCTGCCTATGAGCAACACTCTAAGGCCTCAGGTGCGACTCTAAGAGAGCACCTACAAATTTTTTTTTTTTTCAAATACATGACGTCTTGCGTTGTATAGTGTCCCTAGTCACGTCCGGGGGTTTGATACCTATAGTCAGGCGGATCATGCATGCGTAAATTCCCTGGCCAAACCCAAAAAAAAAAATGCATTGTAAATAGACTTGTCAACTAGGGAAAATAAATTAACTGCTCCACTGAAATATTTTAGCACGTTCCCTTCGCCCAACAAAATGCATGACGAGGAACACATTTAAATTTCAAAATAAGTGTTTGACTGAATATTGTAGTTGTAGGAGTAGAATATGCCAAACGTGAGAAAGTTGCGTCAATTAATTTTTCATCTACATTTGTTGTTCGGAGACCAAAATCTTGAACCAGGCCGTATCTTTAATATTTGAAACAAATTTGCGACGCGCACCGGTTTCCAAACTAGATGGCATAAGGTAATGAGAGACAACTTGCCGATACGCACCAGCCGCCATCGGGTTAACGGGTATCGGAGCCTTCGTCCAACTCCTAACCCGCGTACCAAAAATCCGGGCCCCATAGAAAAAACTTTTCGAGGCTAATTAAAACCAGAATAAAAAATAAAAAACAAAATAGAAAGACGAGGGAGGGAAGAGAGCGGTCGATGCCAGGGACAGCTGCAGAGAGAGAACCGGCGAGGGCAATGGCGGCGGCGGAGCCTGTGGAGCCTCAATCTCTGAAGAAACTGAGCTTAAAGTCCCTGAAGCGTGCCCTAGATCTCTTCTCTCCAGCCCACGGCAGTCACGTGCCTCCAGATCCCGAGAGGTGACTCTAAAACCCTAACAAACCCTACCTTTGATTTTTACCGTATTATTTCATTCTGTTACTCATTTTGATCTCTTTTCGTTCTATTTTCCCTTTTCTATTTTGGTTTGCAGTAGGAAGATTCGGCTCAGCTACAAGGTTAGGGCTGCCAATCTCTCTCTCCTTCTTTCATTATGGCGATTTGATTTGTTTACTATTTATATGTATATTGGATTTGACTAGATAGTGTGAATCTCTGGATTAGGATTCACGGGAATTTTTTCTTTTAAAGAAAGGATAGTAAAAGAGCATATTTTTGTTTGAGTTTTTGCTGATCAATCTTGTATTAATGCACTGAGTATACAAAGAAGAGGAAATTTGCTAGATTTTTCTTTTAATTTTCAGTTTAAACCTTTTTTTAACAAAATATTAGATAACATGCTCTTACACATGGACTATGAAAATTACACAACCGGAAGGTTAAAGAAAAGAATAATATAAGGTTGCTAAATGCATTACACGTGGAGGATGGGTGATATTTCTTGAACTATGTTTCAGTTTGTTAAACATAGTTTCATGGAGTATGTTGGCACACAAACTCTCCTGATGAAAGCATGTCAAATTTACTGTTAACTTGCTATGGAAATGTGGTTTTTTGAACGATGTCTTTACAAATGTGTTATATGTGGAAAGAAAAGAATTTTCATCGGGATCAAACTATTCAACTAACTTTATGCACATTCTTTGAATTTCTGATTAAACCCCTGTATTTCTTTCTTTTGATTTTCTAATCTTAGAAAAAGACGACAAAAATGTATGAACCCTTTGATGTGCGGATTACAACCTAGAGGTCCAAGCATTTCAAATTATAACATGCGCGATTGTGCATTTCCATGTGATATCCCTTTTCATGTGCTTTTTTGCAGGCCATCCTAGTTAATTACTATAGAGGACTAACACTTGATTTGTTTCTCTTGGGTGTTATGATTTGAAGCTGAATGCGGAATATGGATCGGTTAAGAACTTGTTGAATGACCAAGCTTGTGAACAGGGCAGAGACAATGCACAGGGCCAAGGAGGTCCAGCTTCCACCTCTTCTGAATTGGCATTAACAGGTACACTTTGGAATATACGCCCCACCATTATTTTAAATGCTACATATCATTTGTCATTTCATCAGTGCTTATATCTAATGCTTAAAGTGGTCTCTGTTTGTTGACTCATATTCTGTTTTCTTATGAACACGAACTATATTTACTCTTGAAGGCAATCACGAATCTAAGGATCAGAAGGAGGGAGGCCAAAACACTCTTGTAGCTGCACCAGCAATGCTACCTAGAGGACCGTATGTCTACCTATTTGTCATTTGCATTCTCAAGTTTTTGATTAATGTCAATAAATGTATGGATTTTCTCCCAAGTAGGTAATACTTTTCTGTTGTCTTCAACAGGGATGTAGGGAATCCAGGTCGAAATGCTGCTGGAGCTATAATATCGGTTCCTGGATCATCAGAAAGGTGCTTTCTATTTCTTGCATAGACTGACCATTTTGACTTGTTAAATTCCATCTTCCTTTCTTCTAGGATCGCCATAATACTCTTTTAGGTACTGAAATGTTTATTTAATTTTCTTGCTTCTATTTCTTACATTCAATTGTAAAATGGTTAAAGATTTTAAGTCTGTTACATGAACTGAAAGATATAAAACCATATCATTTGGAGTTATTATAAGGCTATCTCCACCAACATAGAGAAAGGTAACACCAGGAGCGCATCTTATACATAAAGCTCTTATCATGTTTGGTATATATCATGTTTTCTCAAGGTCTTTTATCGTTAGTGTAAATGATGAAAACATGCTATGATGCGTCTGATTAAAGATAAATATTGTAATATACGAAGAAATTTTCTTCAGGTGTACCTTCAGTTTTCCCCCTCTGTGTGTAATTTTTTTTTGGTGAAAATTAAGTTAAAAAATTATATTGCTGCATTAGTTTTGTACTGGAACAGTTCTTTTATATGATCTATAGAAATTCTTCTAATATATATGTTTCTTCTAGACATCACTCAACATCCGCGCTAATGGAACGGATTCCTAGTAGATGGCCTCGTCCGACCTGGCATGCTCCATGGAAGAACTACCGGGTACATCGTGTTTCTCATTCTATGATTTGTTGCATCATTTCATCATGGTGTTGCATTTATAAAATTTGTTCCCAAATCCCAATTGATGGAAAGATGGTTGTTTTTATAATGATTATAGTTCCTGCTATTTAGTAGCTAGTAAATTTTACTTCTACCTTAATTTATTCTCCTGATTTGGCTTGCAATATCTTGTAAGCGATTGACAATTCAAAATTTGTATGCATACTTTACTTTATCTACTACTTGTTTAAAAGTTGAGCAATAAGTTTATTTATTATACTGACTTATTGTAAATTTGGTACCAAGGGCACCCTTTTAGATGGGTATATCTCATCTGACTTTAGAGAAGAGTTTATTCTGACTGACATTTTGAAATGTCGTGTCATCTAATAATGAAGGTTCAAATAGATGAGACTTTGACTTTCTTATCTCTCAGTCTGCAGAAAGCTTCAAAGTCATTATGTCCATGTGTGAAACAACTCCTTTTGTTTCTAACTTTGTCTACAATTGCTATATTATTTCTAAGTAATGCTATTCTTCTGTGAGACATCTTTTGGAGTTCCATTTCTACCATCCTTTTTTTCCAGCTTCGATCATTTTTCATTTTACCTTCTACCTCCACTTTTAGTAGGTCTGATGTGCTTTTGCATATTTAAGGAGGCCCAATACTTTGTGCAGTTTTTCATTTTACCTTCTATCTCGAGCAGTATAATAACAACATATTAAAAAAAAGTATCTTTTCCTTCCTCTCTTGATTTTTTTTTTACTTTGATTTTTTTTTACTTCTGCTAATCTTGGAAAATATTTAGATTTTCGATCTTGTTGTAAAATCTTTTGTCGCCACATATTTTACTTTTGTCTTTTGCAAATATTTTTTAGATTTGATGCTGCATAAAATTCCTGCCGTCATCATTGTTGGACCATCTCCAACTTTAGCCTTTTTATCATTGGGCACATTAGATTGCTGTAGCCTGTAACTGGAGACCTGCATCATATGGTTATAAGTCATGAGTCCTTGGTAATATCCTCAGCATGATGATGTTTCTGTTGCACTTATGCAGGTTATCAGTGGGCACTTAGGATGGGTGAGATCTATTGCATTTGATCCAAGCAATTCATGGTTCTGCACTGGTTCTGCAGACAGGACAATAAAGGTTCACCTCAAATATTTATTTGTCCTGTGATTGTTATATATTCTTGCTGTAATGTATTAGGCTTTTCTTATCATCATCACCTGTATTAGACTTATCAATCTTAATTTGTTATTTTGGAGAATTATACTTTTTACAGGCCTCAATCTTTTTCCTTTTAACATGAACACTTTCTATACATTAACCTCAGCGACAAGTTATTATTATGAGTTGTCAGGTGGATAAGGGGTGGTTATATTTGCTTGTACGTATAATGTCATAAGCTGCATTTGTACGCATATATGCACATATGCTTATAGTTATTGTTCCAGTGATCTTTAAATTTGCTCCTCTCCTAGCAGCAAGTCCTATCTCTGTTGAAGGAGAGAATTTTCTTGATTTATGATGCTTGTATAGGATATGAAATTAACTTAACTTCTTATGGTTGGTATTTTCCATCGTGGACTAGTATATAAAAATCATGGAATGCATTTTTAGTAAAACTATAAAGAGAAAAGAACCAATAGTACATACCTAAAGTAACCACTCTGGGTATTTAGGGTCAATTATTCGTCATGATGATGATGAGATTGAGGATAATGTTGTCCATCGAATCAAATCAAGATGGTTTAAATGGAGGGTTGCTTCGGGAGTCTTATGTGATCATAGAATACCTCTGAGTGTAAAGGAGAAATTCTATAGGACAGTTATAAGACCAACAATGCTTTATGGATCAGAATGTTGGGCAATTATAAAGCAACATGTGCAAAAAATGAGTAGCATAAATGGGAATGTTACAATGGTCTTGTGAGTGTACACTAAAAGATAGGATAATAAATGAGTTTATCCATATTAAATTAGAGGTTGCTCCTATTTAAGGATAAAATGGAGATTCGACTAAGGTGGTTTGGCCATGTACAACGGAGACTTCTTAGTGCACCCGTTAGGAAAAGTGATAATATTATAATTAATGACACAAAAATCTAGATGTAGACCTAAGAGAACTTGGTTGAGAGCAATTAAGGAAGATATGATAATTGTTAACTTAACGCAAGAGATGACCTAGAACGGAATGAAAAAAAAGGGATTCATGTAGCTGATCCCAAACATTTAGGATAAAGGCTTTGTTGTTATTTGTTGGCTAATATTAGAGAAGGTAAAAATTCGTGTCCTCTTGTTCACCAAATACCAACTTTCCATCTTTCTCCTAAATTCAATTCATAGTCAACCCTAGCCATGATGACTGTTGGCTGTCAATATTCTTGTCAATCAAATGTGTTTGTGTCTTTACCATATCTAGGTTCTTCTTTTATTTTTATCTACAATTAATTACTAGCTCATCTCATGTATTAAAGACTCAATGTAGTAATTAGAAACCATGAAGTTAGTATGAAACCTCTGTGTGTGTGTAAGGTTTGATAATTATGAGGTGGTGATTCATTTAGCAAAATGAGCTGCTGAGAGATAAGAGTGGTGAGAATGACACCTCTCAATGTGACTAGCAAGGTGGACATCACCACATGCTTTTCTCTTGGTAATTTATTTAGTAAAATGATCCGCCACTTCATACTCATTCTTTCAATACGTGCACGTCTACTTCGGCCTCTGGAAGGGACACCTTGCCCTCTCCCGCCACTCACTTGACATCCACCTCTTCTACCCTCTCTCCCGCCACACCATCTCCCTGCCCGACATCTTACCCGTCTGCCTCTCCTCCATCCACAACCCCGTTCTCTCTTCTAGTACTGCTTTCCCTGTGATTGTCGCCGTGCTCAACCTGCAATGCTCTGACCTACTGCAGAGTTGGCGACAAAACATCCAACTGGTCCTCCTTTGGAAAGCTGAGAAAATATCATCTTGTACGTGGCGAATGGTACTGTAGTATTATCTTCTTGAAGGGCCTCCTTCATTGCCTATCATCTAACCTAACCAAGAGTTTGTTGTCTTCGATTTCTGCCCGGAACCCGTTTGTCCTGCCATGTACACATGTCCGAACCCAATAAGGCAGAGAGAAGGCAGTGGCGGCGGTGCTTATAAGCAGGCGGAGTTCTTGGTTGAATCCACTGGGGAGCTTCTGATGGTGGTGATCACTAGTGACTTGGAGGAACCGGGTTTTGATTGTGGGGTTCGTAGATTTGATCCTGATGGAGGAGATTTGGTGTGGGTGGAGGTGAGGAGTTCAGGTTGACAGGTGCTGCTGTTGGGTGAGTGGGGATACTCTCACATGCACATATAATTGAAAGTTAGGTGAACTTTTTAGTAGTCACCTTTTGTATCTGTAGTCATACAGGCAGTTTTTCGTGAGACAAAAATTCAATATAAAATCTGTACTGGTGCTTGATTGTCCTTCATGTTTCTGTATCAATACTGTCTTTACAATCCATTGGGGTGATATACCGTGTCTTACTGACTTGTGAAAAGAAAACTATATTTGTCCATTCCACGTGTTATATCTGACTTGGCATAAGGAATCAGTCAAGTAGAAACATTGACTCAACCTAGATGGTCCATAGGCAGGGTGGAGACCAGCTTTACCCGTTATGATAAAACGAATAGCTTCTCATCTATCTCGCCTTACAGGAACGTTTATGCAAAATACATAAAGGAATTATATAAGTAATAATATACTTATGATGGTTAGTTTACGTTAAAATTTTATTTTGCTGTCAACCCCACTGTTTTTTAATTGCTGTTGAAGAAGAACTAATGTCTATTTCTAAATTGTTAGACATGATTGATTCTTGTGCTTATTGGTTTATGATATTGACCCATGTCAAACTTCTCTGAATTTGTTGAGCTTTTAGTTATTTTCAACCCAGTTTCAGGTGATTTGATGGCAAAGTTTCATAGTTTAGTCCCTACCTTTGTCTCTGTGTTATCTGAAATATCTTGGATCACTTAAATTTCCTTCCTCTCTCAACATATAGTGAAGACAAGATCCTTACAAATGACCTTGAATGATGTTATTTAAGGTCCACTAAGCTGTACATGAAGCTGTTAAGTCCAGCCATGCATATTCCTTGCCTAAATAAACATTCTGTTGAACTCATAAAATCAAGGATGTTGGCAATCTACATACAAAATAAACAATACGATTTAATCACTGATCTCTGTGCTTATTGATTGATGATATTGACCCATGTCAAACTTTCTGAATTTGTTGAGCTTTAACTCTTTTCAACCCAGTTTCAAGTGATTTGATGGCAAAGTTTCGTAGTTTAGTCCCTACCTTTGTCTATGTGTTATCTGAAACATCTTGGATTCCTTAAATTTCCTTCCTCTCTCAACTCATAGTGAAGATAAGATCCTTAGAGATGACCTTAAAAATGTTATTTAAGCCTGTATATGAAGCTGTTAAGTCCAGCCATGCATGTCCCTTGCCTAAATAAACATTCTGTTGAACTCATAAAATCAAGGATATTGGTAATTTACATACAAAGTAAACAATATGATTTAATCACTGATCTCTGTGGTTAAATGACCGGAAGCTAGGAACCTTGGTTGTCTATTGTGTTCACTAAATGGTTCTCGTATGCAAACCTTTTGTTGCAAAGGTATTAAACATATAGGATTTTGCTCGTCATTCTTTGTCGCATCCCAAACTTAGCTAGTCACCTTATTAGGAGAAATAGAGATACAGATGTGTGTATTCCCAGCTTTATTGACAAATTACCTATACTTACCTGTACATACCTAGACATGATGTCCAGTATAGGTGTTTTATTTATTTAAAAAGTAGATAATTATATTAATGTTTCTGATGCATGCAAATTGTTCAATGGTTTTCTAACTCTTGAAGACAATTCTTTGCTGCGTACCTCTGTCTCACTTGTATTCATTGCGTAAAGGTTGGCAACATGGGAAGTCCCTAATGTTTAGGTATGTTGAATAAGAAAATCAACCTGTGCTCATCGTTGTTAAAAAGATGATAAAAACATATTATAAGAAAGATGTAGATAATCTGGTGAAAAGTATAAAATCATTGGTATGTATGAACCAGTTCCTTTTAATGCTCTACTTGTGTCATCTGAGTGCATGCTAACTTCGTCCTCCAGTTGCATTGAAAGTGTACTTTTATCATATTTTTGTTTACATCAGTACTGACCTCACTTGTATTTGTCTATCGAAGATATGGGATATTGCATCTGGGCAATTAAAGCTCACATTGACTGGACATATTGAACAAATACGAGGTTAGATCCTTGTAGCTGAAATGATGCCTCATACAAATACATGTTGATGTTTGTCTGGTGGATTATTTTGTTTCATATTGGTGGATAATGATGTAATATATTGTATCCAGGTCTTGCTGTCAGCCAACGACATACTTATATGTTTTCTGCGGGTGATGACAAGCAAGTTAAATGCTGGGACCTTGAACAGAATAAGGTGAGTTTCTTGCGGGTTTTGTTCTTTAGCATAAGTTTTGTAGTCATGTGTCAGAAAGTCTGCAGTTGATTTATCTTTTGATTTATTTGATTCTTAGGTGATAAGGTCTTATCATGGACATCTCAGTGGTGTCTATTGCTTAGCTCTGCATCCGACAATTGATATTTTATTCACTGGAGGTCGAGATTCTGTATGCCGGGTATGGATTTTCTTCTTACAAATAACAAATGAGTTCAAATTAATCTATGAAATTTTTTTGTTAGTTCAAAGATTTAGGGTCAATGATATTGTGAGCTACCCAAACATTGACGTTGATTTTCTTTTCCTTATCAGGTCTGGGATATTCGTAGCAAGGCAATGGTTTTTGCTTTATCTGGACATGATAATACTGTTTGTTCAGTTTTTGCTCGACCTACGGTATGCAAGTATTTAAGTTTTACCTAATGCTTGCCTAATCTTGATCTCTTTAATAGACTAGCTATTATGACATGGGCTTTACTGGCTTCATGAAACTATAAGCATATTTGAACAGCTTTCTCTTTAGTATCTGGATTATAATTGAATTTTCTTCTTTCTTTCATTTGTTAAAATACATAATTAGCAACTTCCTGGTGTGTAGTATTCACTGCTTTCAAGGGTTCTCCTTCTAAAAACAAATATTTTTTTTAAAAGAAAATTCTTCTTAGTAAATGTCTGAAAGTAGGATTGGTGTATTACTTTACTTTTATTTATACTCTCCTTATTAACATGAATATGTTATTTTGTTTAGTTATTAGTACATAAATGTGAAAAGTTGATGATGTTTGTGCTTATTGATCATATCATTACTCCTTGTATGTGATACTACTGCATTTTAATGCATATGGCGCAAAATAACTTTGAGCAAGGACTTAATGCTATGCTTTGTATGATTCGATGGAAAGAAATATTCTTAGATCATTCTGTGTACAGGGAAATTGAAGGGTAAAGAGACAGACTTTATATGCTGTTGTAGATTGGCTAGACTCAATGGGAGAATTTTCTTTTTTTTTAGATCATTTTCTCTATACAGAAATTAAACAATAAAGAGAATGTGGTTTTTTTTCCTTTATTTGGATCAAAATGTGAACAGAAAAAGGTATTGCCCTGTGCAGGCACTACAGAATACTTTTGCTGTAAAATGAAAACAGCGGTAATGTTTTGTGCGACTGGATCAAAGTCAAAGCTGTTTATAACTACAAGGTTTAACACATCTAAATGAAATGCCTTGGTATATGAGCACATTTGACAAATCTAAGGGAAATGCTTTGTGTGTAGTGCTCTTATGGAGACCAGACCCCTTTAAGTTTACCTGTAGTTTATTGCAAAATGTTTCTTATGCTTTCTACAACAGCAAATGCTTCCTTAGTCCCTAGTTGAAGAATGCTCTTATGTTTGATGTTGACGTTCCTTTCGCTGCAAACATATAACTGCATGCTTGAAGTTGGCATTTCTTGTTTTTTTACCTTGGAATATACACAAGTGTCCTACCAGGGAATGCAAAAAAGCTACGTCACAGAAATGAAGTTTATTACCGTGCACTTTGTGTGCAAAGAAAGTCTAATGAGTATGAAGAGCATAACATGGATGTCTTCTTAAGAAAATGCATAGGCATAATACGAAAACTGATCGAAAACTATGAGGAGAAGCATAACATGAAAGCAACAAATAGGTGATGCAGGAACTTGCAGCTGGAATATATTATGAAAAGAAGCAGATTGGAAGGTATTTCGGGTACTGAAAGGTAAACTTGCAGTTGAAACAAAGCTTCTTGGTGGTGGAATATGCTTGTTATCTGAGGGAACTAGTGTAGAAGGTTCTTAAAGCTATGTTTAAAGGCTAAAATTTATCTGGTGCTGAAATGGGAATATCAAAGGAGATGTAAGTTTTATTGGAGAGGCAATGCCGTGACATCGAGAATTACTGAAAAATGGTTAACACAGAAAAAAGCTAGATCATGAATCTATGTACCGAATTAATTAAGAATGACTAACAGTATACTGCGTGCTAGGATAATGCACGATTTCTCATAAGGTCAGAAAGACAAGAATGACAACACTAGAATGCATGCCAGGATAATGCGAGGTATTGCATAATATCAGAAGGTAAATTCCAGCTGAGTCTGAATTCTTGGGAAATAAACCAAAGGGAAGAATTACAATTCACAAGTAAGACAGGGAAAATATGAAGATAAATAAAGACAAGGAATACAAAGAAAGAGAATAACCTGAATGCCGAATACAACAACAACTAGAACAAAGCCTGTATCACAATTTTTAAGGTCAGCTACTTGAATTTTATACTTCTGTTTAGTTCTGACTTCTGTTTAGTTCTGTTTAAGACTATCCACTCCATTAAGTTAACCATTATCATTTCCTTTTTTATTTTCTTCTAACCAAGTTCTCTTAGGCCTACCTATATTCCTTTTTTACTCCGTTAATATCACATTTAACTCTATAATCATCTAAGCTTTTTTCTACAAGCACTGTTCCTTGTCAACAAGGCTTCATTGACTATTAAGGAAATTTTATGCTCTGTCAACTCACACATCAATCCTTAAGATTGGTGGTTTCCTGAACAAGTTAGGGGCTTTCTGTAGAACCTAGTTAGGAAAGGGGATTAAGATGATTAAATTTTTTTATTGATTGGAATTCATCTCATGTACTAAGCATAATATATGCCAATGGACACAAAACACTTCTCCATTGATGCCAAAGTCAGGACAGCTTCTGTAACTTCTGTTGATCATTGAGCTAAGTGTGAAAAAGAGAGGAAATTCATTGTTTCAAATAGACAAGCAATGCTTTCAAGATCAGGATGACAGAAAGAGTAAAGGCCCGTCCTTCTTGTTTGCCCTATAATTCTGTTCCTAAAGTTCATTGTCGTTTCTGATGAGATCGTGAATAGAAATTAGTTTGTTTCTGGTTTTTGAACATTTTGACAGTTATTATATTGGAATATCGGCTCCATATATGGTTATTTGTTAAATGCAAATCGTTTTTGTGTTTGTAACTCCTTTTTCCCTTTCAGGATCCACAGGTTGTAACTGGCTCCCATGACACCACTATCAAGTTTTGGGATCTTGTTGCTGGTAATTACCAGTCTCCATTTCCTATTAACCATTTATGTGAGACTAGACAACTGGTGACGACAAAGTTTTTGTCTGCAGGAAAAACAATGACAACTCTCACACACCATAAGAAATCAGTTCGTGCTTTGGCGCTACATCCAACAGAGTATGCCTTGCTAATTCATTTCAGTCAGCTCTAATTTTCTCTTTCTAAATTAACCTTGTTTCATTCTTTGATATTCTGATGAGTTTACCTTTTTATATCTTTTTGATTAATTTAGGAACACTTTTGCATCTGCATCAGCTGACAACATAAAGAAATTTAGCCTTCCTAGAGGCGAATTTTTGCACAATATGCTGTAAGTATTTTACTGATATAGTAAACTTGTTTTTTAGTGACAATTTGATAATTCATAAATGATATTCTGTTGAGAGCTAGAAATTAAGGATAAAACTAGATAGGGAGTTAGAAGGTGTTTGGGTGCTAAGGCCTGCTAGGTTTTATTGCAAACAAGGCGTCATTATGTTTCAAGTATCTAGCAGCTTTGTATCTTTACATTCTCTGAGTTGATTGTTGATCTTGTTTCTTGGTTATTGTAAAAACCTAATTAGTCACATTCATTGTATTAAATATCCCGATGTAGCCGATACATCGGTCAATATATCTTTATGTTAGGCTTTCCTCAAAACAATATGGTCTCAATATCCTTCACCACTTTTTGGTAAATTTTGTGTGATATATCCCCGATATAGCTGATATACCAGTCGATATGTATGGCTTGTTGCCAAACAATGTAGTTCTACGAAATTTCTTTAATGTATTTTTAGCAAAAATTCCTGTCGTATGAAGTTCTTCACCAAAGTTATTGTATTATTTACATTTATGCATTCATTAAGTATGTTTAGACTACATTTTAAGACATTATATTATATATGCACATTATTCACTATGGCTCTCCGATATTTACTAATATTCCGGTATTTTCCTGATATCTGCAATCTGATATGAATTTTGGCTGTCTGTATTTCCTCGATGTCTGATATTGAAGACCTTGGTCACATTGCATCAGATTCTGCCTGATGGTATAATATGAGGGGTTTCGTATTGATATCAACATGCACCCATGCATTCACAAGTCAACATGCACCCATGAATTCGCAAGATGGTTGGATCATGACATAATAATATTTTTTTAGGCTTCAGGCTTTACTTTCCCCCTTAAACTTCTCAATTTGTCCCTTCATACCCCCTGGACTATTTTTTCTCATCTTACCCATGAGCTATTAGATTCGACCTCGTAACCTCTCAACTATTTTGAGTCCCACCTTGCTCCTTCAACTATCAGTTTGTTACCTAGTGACCACATCTTGTTTATTATTTTGTGGGTATTTAAATGGATCAAGTGATAGTTCACGGATGAGGTCATTGAGGTGGGAGTGAAGTGATAGCTCAGGGTGTAAGGTGAGGCTGAAAATAGCTTAGAAAAAGGAGGGGGGGGGGACGATTTTAATAGTTCAAGGGGTAAGATGAGACTAAACATAGTTCCGGGGTATGAAGGGATAAAAAGAATAGTTCAGGGGACAAGTAGGTGCTGAAGTTTCAACATTCATTTGTTCGTGACATGTTTCTTGTTTTCCTAATACACACCCAGGTACATCCTCGATTTATTCTTTTCTTTTTGCACGTTTATTTGATCGAACTTTGTGTAGAATTACATTGTTTTTCTCTTGTATATATTCTTTTACCATTTATCAAGCAAAGAACACATTTCATTGAATCCTGTTTATTTATGTTCCAAATTTTTTTGAGCCTATATAAACTGCATTCTATATGCATAATACTTGCTCAGGCAAAAGGCTTTACCTACTGTTTGAATATGATGCCTGCTATATGAACACTATAAACTCCAGACCATCAATGGATTTATGCTCAGTCTTTTGTGTATGTCTTGGACCCATATTTTTGCAACATAAGTAGTTTTAGTGTTCTGTCTCAAGCTAGGCTCTTTTTATTCGTGTTGGTGCTTGTGAAGTAACAAAAAGGAATCAAATCAATGAAGATCACCTTAGATACCTATGGTTCTAATACCTTTTATTTTCCTTACCTATGCAGGTCTCAACAAAAGACAATCATAAATTCAATGGCAGTAAATGAAGATGGGGTCCTTGCAACTGCAGGTATCATATATTTAAAACTGGGAATTCTAATAAAATAATTGACTATCAAAGTCAGAAGTGATATTTAAAACTGGGAATTCTAATAAAATAATTGACTATCAAAGTCAGAAGTGAAATTTAAATTGGTTGCAATACTGAAGCGAGCCAAGTTTAGAAGCACCCAAACAATGGGAATTAATCCTTCTGTTTTTTTTTTTTTTCTGTAGGTGATAATGGTAGCCTATGGTTCTGGGATTGGAACTTTTTTTTTTTTTTTTTTTCTGTAGGTGATAATGGTAGCCTATGGTTCTGGGATTGGAAGAGTGGCCATAATTTCCAGCAGTCGCAAACTATCGTCCAGCCTGGTAAGTGGCATCACTTAACTCATATGAACCTTTCACGTTTGCAAGAACACAATGGTAATTTCCTTAAAAAAAATTATTCTATCCCAGGTTCACTGGATAGTGAAGCATGTATTTATGCTCTTTCATATGATATGAGTGGTTCGAGACTTGTTACGTGTGAAGCTGACAAAACAATAAAGATGTGGAAGCAGGACGAGAATGCTACACCAGAGACCCACCCGATTAACTTCAAACCACCTAGAGAATTCCGAAGATATTGAAGATGCCTCTAATTAGAAGCTCAGGTTGGCAGTTTGACGCCCTCTCATTCATTCCATCTCTCTTCTTTTCTCCCCTCATTTTTGCAGAATAGCATGTGAATTAGTTTGAAATGTTCAATTAACTATATTAGATATTGCTCACACCATAAGAGAAAGCATGGCAAGTTATTTGCCTTAACAGTTAGCATATAGAATATGTAATCGTCAACATTTATCGATTATTCAGAAAACAGAGAAAGGGAAATTGATCTTGCGGTCTGGCATCAGGATATGGCAGATCAGGAGGTTTTATAGATATGTTCCTTCTGCTGCATGTTCAGAACTTCAGATAGTTTTCAATTCTTTGTTCTTCTTGATCATTTTCTTCCTTATATTACCTTATCTGTCAACATCTTTTCCCAGTTAATACGTATGCATCATAATATAGTATTATTTTCTTCTGATTTCTTCTTTTCATTGACTAATGCTTATTATATTCCTAGTGAATTTAAGCTTTGCAGTTCCTCAACTTAAAAGTGTATTTCCGCCTTTGTTTGAGACATGTTACTCTCTTATCTCTTAATTCTGCTATAGTTCCTGGGTTATTCAGTTATAAGTTATAACCATGGACTTGGCACATAATTAGACACTAATATTGGACATGTCTGTGTGTGTTATGTGGCAATCTGAGATAGAAAATGTTGATTTTAGATAAGAACTCATTTAACCCTTTCTTGTTAGATTAAAGAAACTGTTAGAATTAATTGCTTAACATGGAGTGAGAGTTGTAATCCTATGCAATCCTTGAGGAGTTTACTCATCTAGTGATATCTTACATACTTTTGTGTATATTTGTTTGCATTGATCTTTCAGGTGCATACAATATGCTGATTGAACCGGGAAAGGACTGTAAGAGGATAATGTAGAGCAAGAAACTGGTGTAAAAGGGTAAAGATTCTTCTTTAATTATATTGATCATTTTATTCCTTTTCCTCCTTTATTTGAGGACTTCCATCGAAACTTGAATGAAAGCCAAGATCTTGGTGATGACAACTCTAGGCCAAGATTTGATTTATAGATTTAGATTTAGGGACCAACTCTGGCCTAGGGATTATTTATTTCTTAAAATTGGAGTTGATAGGATGTAAGTTCTTTGAGATGTATTCTCTTTCCAGTGTCTATCCCGGTTTGTGTCAACGTCAGCTCTATGAAAAAGACATGTTTCACTAATCTGGGTACTAGTGCAATGAGCCTTCATTTGTAAAAAGTTGTTATACCTTCCATTTCTATCATAGTTGACAATAGTGAATCTTTTATCACGCTTTCAGGGACCAGATCCGCATCGAAGAGGCAAAAGCCACCCGTCAATATTCTCTGTACGGAAGTTTATATTCTCTCAGTCATAAATATTTCTGAAAGTTTAAGGTGTAAACATATCTGTAAGTTACGATGTGCAATTACTATTCTTGACTTCAAATTTCTGAATTTATATCTGTTCTTCAGTTTTGAGAGATTTGCACTTCAACTGATGTGTATATCAAGAAGAAATGTCGTGATATTGGACATGTTTCTTTTCTGCTTATCAGTTTTGGCAATAGGATGTCCTCCGTCCCTCCTAAGGATTAACTTAAAGGTAATCCACAAGAGGCTAAATAGAAAACTCCCCTTTGTTTGTACCCTAATTTCAAGAACACACGTATCCTCTGTTAAACTCCTCAGAAAAACCTTCCATAGAAAAGTCACTTTTCATTACCAGAGTTGGCTGGCATTTAAGGAATCAGTTTTAGAAAGTATTAAAATGCCAAAATACCCATTTTGTTTGACAAGAAAAAAAAAGATCGGTTAAAATGTTGATTATATAATCAACATGGGTTGGAAATGCAGGATAGGTTATCCTGATGCTATGTAGTATAAGATAATGTCCTAAACCTAACAAATGCTAAAATCTTGATTGTTGTAAGCTGGACCTGACCTATTAATAGAATAATGTTCTGGTGCTTAGGTATAACTGTATTAAGTATTCACCTCGTATTGCTCATTATTGCTATATCGTCTCTGATTCCTATATCCGATGGGGGCATTTGAATGCCTTGAAGGCGCAGGTTTTTCTTTTTCGCAAAAGCTGAGTATAAGCTTTATTAGCAATTTCCAACATGTCATGGCGTTAGCTATGCGTGTTTGTCTCCAGATTTTTACGACCTAGTCAATTGACATGTTCTCTTCTATTGAAAATTTGAAATGCATTGGATATTGATATTTTGTTCGACTTTTACTCTTCTTAAATTCTGATCAATTGCTAGTGAGATATTACAAATGATTGTGCTAAGTTTTATTTATTTAAACCGTTCATGCTTGAATATTCCATTGTCAACCAAACAACTGGAATCGCCAAGTTTTATTTGTCTATAGTTGTTATTAGGAGTTTATATGCACCAGTCAAAATAAACACAATACCATGAACATGAAGGAATAACTGGATTTGCTATTACCACAGATATTTGTGGTCTTCAGAATTGCTCAAGCGGTAAGTGACAATTGTAACTATTTGATAGAAAACATAACCGTGTAGCTAGTTTTTGAATTCTTTGCTAGTTAGTAAGTAATCTTTAGGTCACCAAACCTCTGCGTGGACTGTTTGGTGAATAGCAAATAGGCTTACAAGGCACTCTCTACCCCCACCTCCTCAAAGCTCACATGGACAATAAAGCACAGCTCAGAAGCAACCATCACAGCTGTTATATTTATCACTGTATTATTGCTTGTGTGAGATTTAAGGCATCTCTTTTTAGTCTTTGCATATTAAAATTATGGTTTGGTGGCAGGGTCTTCTACCACCAACTCCACTCTCTCTTTTGTTTGTTATTTTCTGCCTATTGTTCCTAGACAATAAATTGCATGTTTAGAGACCATTTCAACTAACAAACTTTTTTTTTTTTGAGTGCAGCAGCCAGTAGCTGCCGTGTTCAAATCAAATTAAGTACAAACTATATGATAGCCAGTTCATTAAGCGATTTCTATTTTTTTTATAAAAGTTGCCCTTAATGAAGGCACGGGCAAATGATTGATAGATGTCCCCTTGCTAAGTTCTTATGGTTAGCGTCGTTGGTGTTGGAGGTAAAACTGTTGGTTGGCATCAGGAAGTTGTACACCATTAAATTCAAGGCCATAATATGATCAGATATTGACAGGAAGTGTGAAGCAAAAAAACTTCAAAGCTTCTCTGATGCGCAAGTCTCAAGAGTTGGTCACTGGAATGCAGACCGACACATATTACCTGGTCACACATACATTATTGTGTATCATGTTATTTTAAGTCTAGAATTGTTAGGGTCTTCTTGGTCTCTGCGAGAATGCATGAACGTCTCCGATCCTTATCGAACGTATGTTAGAAAAAAATCAGGTTAGTAGCACGTGTCTTATATACATGAGTAAACCAACAGGAGCATTTCACCTTTTGATTGTTTTCAAAATTCCATCCTCCATGACGAGGAGATCCTAAAGGGGCAAATAAAAGTTGGTTAGCTTTTGCATGGCAATGTCAGATGCAATGTACAAATCTCCCAACAAGAATGAGAAGACATTTTGTGAAGAAAAAGACACAAGACGATTTCATGCCTTTTTTCTGTCATCATCACTCCATAACAACCCTACTCTTTTCTTTGTTATTCAAGTCATTTATCATTTCTGAATAAATGAAGATGCTCAAACTAAATAGGGAAAGGAGGCCTCGTAGCTTGAATTAGACTCTTCGAAGGATTTTTTTTCCTCCTCTTCTTTTAGTGGCCCCGGTTCAGATAGTGGCTTGATTCTTGAAAAGGAGGTGAGAGCTAATGTGTGTGGTGAGAATCTAGTATATACATCTATCAAAAATATTATTGTCAATTTGTCTGATCGCATTTCTTTGTCATTCTGCTATCGACCAGCACCTTTTGCACTTAAACCTTGCGCAAAGAAAACAGACTGTGTCCCCATCTTCACAGTTTCAATTGGCATAGAAGCAACTTCTCATCATCTTACTTTTCCTTTTCCTTTTTTTTTTTTTAAATTCTTCTTCTATGTGACGATTATGGCGATTAATGGATCCTAAACTTATGATTATTAAGTCTGGCAATAAGCATATTTGTAAATGTTCTGGACAGAATCAAGTTTGCTAATTTACATTATTCCCATAATAATTGATTATTAGTCGCTGGAAACTTACTAAAAACTGTGTCAGACCTCATAGAGTCAAATCGTCTATTGAGGTCTAATGGTAGGTATCACATTACCATAATTGTAACCCTGTATTTGCCATTGTTAGGTTTTTCAAATGATTGTCAATATTTTAAGCTAGCAGCTCTCTCTTTCTTGTTGGTTTCTTTCCTGTTTCTTTCCTGCCCCACTTTTGCCTAGCTTTTGGCAATAAAAATTGGGCATACTTCTCCACTATCTGTAAACAATTTAGGGGCTTGGTGAGTGAAAACAAGAGGCCTTCATTTTTTTAATGCGTTATATTTCATGTTGGCATAAACGTGGAGGGTTCTTATTCAAAAAGCTAGAAGACGGGGAAGAAAGATTCTGAACCTCTAAAGGGGCATATGTAGTACATGAAAGAATTCAACTCCTGAAGCTTTATTTATTTTATTTTATTTTATTTTATTTTTTGTGTTTTCAAGTTGAAGGTCAATCCCTCCTCCCTTAAATTATCAGAAACCAGCTCTCGCTTGTCATAGAAGAGATCACGTGTTCAGCGCAGGGCTAACGTTGGAACAGATGTTGCACCGAGGCCCACAGACGTATAGATGTATTGCTTAGGTTTGAGAATATCATTTATTAGATGTGTGATTATCCTAAGGTAAAAATTTTATTTTATTATTATTCATTTTTGAAGTATATAGTTTCGCTATCGCTTTGCTTGCCTGGGCTCGCTACTCCCCTTTGCGTAGTTCTCTCGTCGGCTACCATGAGAAGGAAAGGGCCACCCATTTGTCACTACTTCCGTGTTCTCCTTAAATCATGTCAAGCTTTGTAAAGTCTTCCTTAATGCGCGCGTATCTCACTTCAGTCAAACTTAGCTATTTAGTATTTACGCATCGTATTTATTTTGTGCAAACACATAAAAAAAAATCCATGCATACGTATGCACGAATATAATTGTTTTTAAAGTAGTCTATCCACTTAAAATGCATTAACAATCAGCGGACCACCGAGGTTTGTCAGTTTGTGCGCTAACTGTAGTTGCAAGGGGACCATATGAAATTAACCTAGAGGTCTGTTAGTTTGTGACTTTGTGTGCTAACTGTAGTTGCAATGGGACCATATGAAATTAACCTAGAGGGGGTGAATAGGGTATATGCTAATAATAATGTCAATTTAAAACTTATTAACAATTATATCCTAACAAGTATAATAAACAACAAATTATTTGCAATGATGTGAAATTAAACTAAGGGCGATATAAACATGAAACAATATAAACAAGATAGTGGGCAAATAATCAATGCAAACACAAGAAAATGATTACGGAGTTCGGTCCTTCCGATCCACGTCTCCGCTTCCCACTCTCGAGGAGAACTTCACTATCTCAACCGGCTTTCAACGCTAACCGAAAACGTTTACACCTCACAATCTTGGTTTTCTAGCTCACTAAAAACTTTCACAACTCACACTCTTGCAATCACACTCTACACTCTCTGAGTGTTGGCCTAGCCCGTGTCGTCTTTCTCAAGTGTTTGGAAATATCACATCTCTCTAGGCTTTACCACCGACCTCACTCCTTTTAAAATTGACCCCGTCTCTCACCACACACTTCTCTCGGTGTACAAGTGTATTACAAAGTGTATCTCACAATTAAGCACAATAACAAATATTTTGTTCTCTTAACAAGATGAGAACACAATTAAGCCCATACTCAATGTTACACTCTCACAATCCCAATATACTATGTATGAAAATACTTAAGCTCAAGTGGGTGTGTGTAAACAATGAGTGAAAATGAAATATAAACGCAATTAAAGTCTATCTTATGGAAATGATAATCAAGCATATAAATAAATAGCGATTGAGTTTAGAAAAATTTTCCAATGAAAAACAAGAGAGAGAGAGAGAGAGAGAGAGAGAGAGAGAGAGAGAGAGAGAAGGTTGAAGCCCAAACACGAATTGATGATCTCCTCTTGCTCTTGTAAAAATCACTTCACATAAACTTTTGTAAAAACACACTTAAAACAAACTTAAATACCCTTAAACCTTTTTTTAAACTTTCTTAGATATATAATAAATAGTTATGGCAAAGAGGGGTATTTATATGAACTCAAGACAACAGCCAAAACATAGGAAACAGACAAAAACCCCAAAAGTTCGGGTCTGGAAAAACTAGTCATTGGCTTGCAACAGTCACAAAGTTGGTCGATCGGTAGACCTGTTTTGGTCGATCGCAGAGTGTCAATCGGTCGATTGAAACAAGTATGTCGGTTGACTGAAGAACACTGAGAAAAATGCTAAAAAACCTAACTCTGGTCGGTCGATCGGAGCCGTGCATTCGGTCGACCGAAAACTGATACATGAGATTTTCAGAAACTGTTTTG